CTGTCTGTCTGTCTGTCTGTCTGTCTGTCTATCTATATATCCATCTACTGTCTGTCTGTCTGTCTGTTTGTCTTTCTGTCTATCTATCTACTGTCTGTCTGTCTGTCTGTCTGTCTGTCTATCTACTGTCTGTCTGTCTGTCTATCTATCTACTGTCTGTCTGTCTGTCTATCTATCTACTGTCTGTCTGTCTGTCTATCTATCTACTGTCTGTCTGTCTGTCTATCTGTCTGTCTATCTATCTATCTATCTATCTATCTATCTATCTATCTATCTATCTATCTATCTATCTTCATCTGACTCCAAAATTCTGAATGTGTAGTGTATGTGTATAAATCTATTAATCTATATCCTTGCACCATGATGGACACAGGTTTGTGTGAGAGCAGCAGTCATTCATATCATTCACAGCAAACATTGTTTCACACACAAACCTTTACTGTCAAGGACCGAAGAGGTTAGTACAAACACAAAATAAGTCTTCTACACGCTACATTACAAAATAAAATAAATTAAAGGAAATAAATCAAAATAAGGTGCACCACTTGGATTTCTTAAAATTCTATTAGCATTTACTTGGCATTGTTACTCTTTGTGAAAGTATTATTAAAATAAAACTATCTATTTGACTAAGACAGGTTAAGTCATGTGCATGTCAAAATTTTATTTTACATATATAATATAATACATTTAAAATCATTAGTTACACTACAACATTGCAACTGTAGTTCTATTGCACAAACCTGACTTCATTAATAAAGGTTCACTTAAATAGTGCAAAAAGCTCTTTACAGGAATGTGCTACAAACAGTAAACAAACCAACAGTATTTACAGTAAATGGCCAACATGTGATCCTGTCGAAGAAACAAAGAAAAAAAAAATCTATACAAAAATACAATTAAAACAAATACACAACCTATAAAAAAATTGCCATAGACAACAGTATATGTTCTCCACCAGGAGAAACAGGCCAAATTCTCCAGAAGGCCTTTCTTTCACTTTTTTATCTTTTCACACACACAAAAACAAAACAAAAATTATATCAACAAAAAACAAAGAAACAATAAAAACAGGGTGTTAGGAACTGAAATAAGCATCCAGACGTGTCCATTTCCACACTGATGTAAGATTCTTCACAAATCCTCCGTCTACAAAACAATAACGATGTGGCTTTGCTATAGTCTTTTCAGAATTTATCTGCCTTGGTTTTTAACTTTTAGCCCCCCCCCAAAAAAAACTCAAGGGGAAAATCAAAACTTCCTGTGCAAAAGGGTCCAAAACATCCGGGTTAGTTCCAACAGAATGGGGTGGGGGGTGTTCAAAAACAGGCGTGCAGTCTTAAACAATCCAATTAGAGCTCCAATTAGTGTTGATTGACACTTACTTGATGTTTGAGTCTGCAGTAGTGTCTATGAGGGGTTTAGCGAGGGGACCCAGGATGTGTCCCGGCACCCAGCCCTCCGCGGCCGGCGAATGGCTGTTAGCGGATCGGTACACCAGGTACATGTTCTGCTGATTAGTGGCCAGTATCTGCACTGTTTCACCCTGCATGACGCAGATCTCGTTTTCTTTCAGTGCATTATAGTCCTGAGTCACCATCAAGGAGGACGACGTACCGTTACAGCCCACACCACCAAACTGCTGTAGGAAACACACACCGCATAATACACACACACAGAGACAAAAAATAAATGCATGGTTAAAATAATTAATATGTCAACCAGACCTTAAACTTCAGTAGTCAAGAAGACATTAACACCTTTACATAGTATGTCTAGCATATGGAGTTACGTAATGCACAGCATATGCTAAATTTTCAGATGCACTTTATATTACAGTACATGCACTTACAATTGGAGTTTTTACGCAAAATTTCACAAATGTTCATACCATTTACTCAAAATGTTCTAATTTAACCTTCCAGTGAAAAGACTCTCTCTGGTTACGTATGCAGGACTTCTTCAATCATTTAGTCTGCATAAACCTCATTGGTTTATCACGTTCATCTGCCTCCATATTTGAGTGCCAAGCCCACATTCTCAACATCCAATCAACACCTGATGCTTAGAACCAAGTCCCCCGCCTTGCATTTTTTTTCTTTTTCGAAAATCTCTCGGATGTGTCAAAATACAGAAGAAAAGACAAGATTTGTGTCTACTTTTGTTTCATGGTGATTTTAGAGCTCTTTTTGACAGCACTTGGGTGCTAATGGGAATGAGCAAAACGATGGCTTGTTTCAGAGGACTTGTTTCAAGAATCCAGTTAGGTAAGCTGCCAAAATGGGCCAATGGACTGTAACCGTTCCTCAGCATTATTTTGCAATATGGTCATGTGACTAACTATAGGTGGGGTAGTGGCTCTTGTGTAGTCTATGAATTAACTGCCATCTGAAAATCACAGATGAATCATGCAAATACTCTTGTACAGACACCACCCTGAGAAAAACAACATCATGAACATCAAAGTATGGATTTGATATCTTAGTTGCTACCGATTCAGGTGACTCTGTGATTTTAATTCTGTTAGACCTGACTGCTGTCTTCGATACTATTGACCATCAGTTCCTCCTGTCTAGATTAGAATGTTTTGTGGGGCTAAAAGGCTCAGTCCTGAATTGGTTTAAATCTTATTTAACAGAGCGATATTTCTCAGTCAGAATTGGCAACTTTACTTCCTCTGCTGCCCAACTCGAATCTGGTCTTCCCCAGGGATCTATTCTAGTACCTCTGCTTTCCTCGCTCTACATTAGTGTTCTTTTGGATAATAGGCTCACTCTAGATAAACATGTTTCCCAAAACCTACTTATGGTTCCTTGCACAAGGTTGAAATGCAGAGGAGATAGAGCATTTTCGGCGATGGGCCCTAGATTGTGGAATAGCCTGCCAGCGCACCTCAGAGCTGCTCCATCTTTATCGGTTTTTATAAGTTGATGATGTTTGAATGTGTTACTTTTTGATCATTTTGTTGCACAGCACTTTGGTCAGTCTTGTGACTGTTTTTAAATGTGCTTTATAAATAAAAGAACTAGAACTAGAGCTAGATTTCTATGAGCCACCATAAACTCTAGCATGCAGATGTTTAATGTTAGCAGAGGTGCTGTGTTCTCACCCTGTGGTATCTGTCCGAGCCGTGGCATGGACCACCGTTGGAGGTAGTTAGCTTTATTGGAGTGGAGCTCTGTCCAGACAGAGTGGGTTTCTCTGCCCCAAGTGACACAGTGGAGCTGGGCCTGCTGTTGGCCTGACCCATTCGCCCACCGCTGGAGGAGTTTCGGGTCAGAGACTGAGAGCCGCTGCGCTCCTTCTGATACTCGATGGGAGACTGCAGAGCTGTAGACAGATGCACCAATGGTTTCAATGGCTCAACAGAAGGAGAGTTGATTATATTCATATCGACGTGACGGCTTACCTGACAAGAAGTTGCTCTGCAAGTCTAGTAGCTCGGTGATATGCTGAACCCAGACCTGTTTAATGTCCGTATTTGCTGCTTGCAGGGTGAAACGTTCGGCTGACCCACGACACGACAGCACAAACTTGCATGGATCGTTTTCAACATGCTCTTCTAGGCTGAGCAAGCTCACCTGCACACACAAGTCAGTATCACACCTGGTTTCAGCCGTCTAGTAGCCAGGGTTGTGATTTTCACAACTCCCAAAAAGCAAAGCCCAAAGTGTGCTTCATTTTCTATGCGAACACTTAGTGTATGCGTACAGCCAAACACAGACTTTTTTGACACAGACACACTGCTTTGTGAGCTTTGAAACCTTTGTGAATCATTTGTTTCGAACCAGTGATTCTGAGCATGTATCAAACTGCCAAAGTAAGCGATTGTTAAAGGTCCCATGGCATGAAAATTTCACTTTATGAGGTTTTTTAACATTAATATGAGTTCCCCTAGCCTGCCTATGGTCCCCCAGTGGCTAGAAATGGCGATAGGTGTAAACCGAGCCCGGGGTATCCTGCTTTGCCTTTGAGAAAATGAAAGCTCAGATGGCCCAATCTCGAATCTTCCCTTTATGTCGTCATACGGGGAAAGGTTACCTCCCCTTTCTCTGCTTTGCCCGCCCAGATAATTTGGCCCGCCCATGAGAAAATGAGCTACTGCCGTGCGAGGCGAGCGCAATATTTTTTTTTCCTCGAGAGACATCATGGCTTGCAAACGAGCGAAGCATGGCAGTTGCCCCGCCTCTCTCCTCCTCATTAGCATTTAAAGCTACAGACACAGAAACGGCACGTCCTAAGGAAAGCTCATTGCGGGACTGGCTCGTAGTGGCTGAAATTCTGCACCAAGGCTGAATTCCGGGAAAGAGACTTCAGATACAGTAC